CATGGTGGGTGCCTATAGTCCCAGCTACTCTGGAGGCTGAGGCAAGGGGATCTCTTGAGCCCAGGAGTCTGAGGTTGCTGTGAGTCATGACACCACTGCACTCTACCCAGGGAGACAGAGTGAGACTCTGTCTCAATAAAATGATAATAAAAAATAAGAAGAAAGAAATAGCCATTTAAGCCATAATTCTAAAATATTATGAAGATAATCACCAGAACAGCTAAAACATTAGAAAGGGTTGCCGCTAAGGAACAGGACAGAAGGGTGCCTGAAGAAGGATGGGTAGAAGGGCAGCTCTTATCATTACAGCTCCATATGACTTTTCACACCATTTGTAGTGCGTTGGCAGACATATAATTTTCTAAAAAGCTATGGACATATAAGTAATTTGGAAGGATCCCCACCACACCATTACAGTGGCTGTCTCTCAGGAGGGTGGCAGGGCATGCCAGGCAGAACATTGGAGGGACTACTGATGTGGCTGAACGTGGAAGTCACTGTGGACAAGGATGCTAGCCTGATGGCAGGCCAGTGTGATAAGTCTAGTTTCCATCCTGAGGACAGGGGGAGCTATGGAAGGGATGTCAGCAGATGAGTATCCTAAGCAAATCTGCCTTTTATTCACTGATTGATTGAGATGGTCTCATTCTGTCACCCTGGGTAAAGTGCTGTGGTGTCATAGCTCACAGCAATCTCAAACTCTTGGGCTCAAGCAATCCTCTGGGACTACAGGTACCAACTACAACGCCCAGTTAAATCTCTTTTTAGTAGAGACACGGTCTTGCTTTTGCTCTGGCTGGTCTCAAAATCCTGAGCTCAGGCAATCCACCTGCCTCGGCCTCCCCGAGTGCTAGGATTACAGTTGTTAGCCACTGAGCCCTGCCCTAAATCTGCCTTTTAGAGTGAGCCCCTTTACTTATGTGGGTGATGAATTTGGGGGCAGGAGAGGCTGCTGCAGGGTCCTGGTGAGAGCTGACAGGGCCTGAACTAAAACATCCACACCACAGATGTCTGCTGAGAGCCTGCTCTTTTGCCAGCCACTATTGATGGGCCTATTGATGGCACTATACTTGTTTTTTGCCAGCCCACTATTGATGGCAGGGAGCATCATGGAGCAAGTCCTCTGACTTCAGGGAGCTTACAGCGGCAAGAGAGCCAAATGGACAGAAAAGAAGATAAATAGGAATCAGGCAATGGTTTGTGCTATAATGAGAAATGAAGCAGCTTAAAGAGACAGAGATCCTATAGATAGGGGCAGGCAGGGAGGGCTTCTCTGAGGAGGTGACGTTGGAATAGAGTCCTGAATGAAGCAAAGGAGCAAGTTGTGCAAAATTGAGGAACAAGGGTTCCAAGCAGAGAGAATAGCAAGTTCAGAGACCCTGAGTCAAAGAGGTAAGAGTGGGCTTGATGTGTCTAAGGATCAGCAAAGAGTATGTGGCAGGAGCACATCACTCGCGGAGCAGGTGCTGGGGGCTGATGTCCCAGAGGTGTTGGGGCCAGCTGTGGAAGACAGAACTTTGGGGAGCCATGGGGGGTTGAGAGTAGAAGAGCAGCATGATTTGTCTTGGGGCTGGAGGAGGGAGACTGAAGGGGTGAGCAGGCCGAGGTCTGGCTGCAGGGGACACAGGAGGCCTGTGCGAAGGGGAGCTAGGGCTCAGCCTGGCTGACCATCAGTGCTGGGCCACTCAGTTTGCCTGGACCAGCAACAGTAGCTTCATCACCCACTTCCCAGCATCCCAGCCCCCTCTGGGAATGGAAGGATCCTTCACAAATCAAAATAGCAGGCAAAGAACAGCCTCTAATTGTTCTGCGTAAGAGCAGAGAAATTAGAAGAGTCAGCTGTGGGGTTGAGACCGCCTCCCACACAGCTGTGATCCTGCACCCGCTGAAGACTGACTTCCTGAGACTTGCAGTTCTGCTGTCTCCGAGCAAAACTTTTTGCTCCTCCAGCCCCAGAGCAAATGATAGCTATTTGGAAGGCAGTAGGACAGATGCTGGCCTTGGAGGACAGTAAGTTAGTCAATTTTTTTTTTAAACCAAAAATATCATTCACTTTATGAAGGAATAGCCTTAGCTGATGTGAGTTTGTTTGGTCACTAAAACATTGAGTACCCTTGTCCTAGGTGCCCAGGGCTGAGCCTGGTTCCAAGATTCTAAAGGAGGGCAGGCACGGAGTGTAGTACCACTCGGGGTAGAGTGGAGAAGAGGGCATGGGAGGCAGCGGGCTTTAGTTCTGGCCCTGGCTCTGCCACTGTTGTTGTGTGACCTTGGATGGGGCCGTGCTGCCTGTCTTGGCTTCATTCTCCCCATCTCTCCCCAGTGTGGGCTTTAGGCTAGATAGTGATTCTCCAAGTTTAGAGTTCATTAAAATCACTTGGGGACCAGGCACAGTGGCTCACACCTGTAATCCTAGCCCTCTGGGAGGCTGAGGCGGGTGGATTGCTTGAGCTCAGGAGTTTGAGACCACTCTACTAAATGAGACCACTCTACTAGTAGAGACCATCTCTACTAAAATAGAAAAATTAGCCAGGTATTGCAGCTCCTGTGGTCCCAGCTACGCAGGAGACTGAGGCAAAAGGATCTCTTGAGCAGGAGTTTGAGGTTGCTGTGAGCTATAATATGGCACTCTACATAGGGCAACAGAGTGAGACTCTGTCCTGGGCGGAGGGGATCACTTGGTGTAGGAGGTGCTCATTACAGATATTACAGATGAATGAAGATGCCCAGGTCCAGAGATGAAGCAGTTCTCAGATGGTGTCCCGGCACCCGCATTTCCCAGTCTCTTTTGGTAATTCTGAAGGCAGTCCTTGGACCACGCTTTAATAAAATCACTTCCCATGGTGGCTCACACCTGTAATCCCAGCACTCCAGGAGGCTAAAGCAGGTGGATTGCCTGAGCACCCAGGTTTGAGACCAGCCTGAGCAAGAGTGAGACACCATCTCTAAAAATAGCTAGGCACTGTGGTGGGTGCCTATAGTTCCAGCTTCTCGGGAGGCTGAAGCAAGAGAATCACTTGAGCCCAAGAGTTTGAGGTTGCTGTGAGCTATAATGGCACAACACTTTACTGGTGGTGACAAATTGAGACTCTGTCTCAAAAAAAAAAAAAAATCACTCCCCTTAGTCTGTTGGAGCTCTTCCTGCTTTGAAATTTGTGGAGTCGGCTCGGCACCTGTGGCTCAAGTGGCTAAGGTGCCAGCCACATACACCTAAGGTGGCAGGTTCGAATCCAGCCCGGGCCCACCAAACAACAATGATGGCTGCAACCAAAAGAAAATAGCCAGACGTTGTGGCGGGCGCCTGTGGTCCCAGCAACTTGGGAGGTGGAGGCAAGAGACTCGCTTGAGCCCAGGAGTTGGAGGTTGCTGTGAGCTATGCCACGGCCCTCTACCCAGGGGACAGCTTGAGGCTCTGTCTCAAACAAAAAGAAAGAAATGTGCGGAATCACTTGTGTAACCCTTCTCTAGGTTTTACAGCATTCCAGGGGCATGAGAGAAGTGTTGTGGCCCCTACCTCCTTTTGTCTGTATGTTTCTGTGATGATCATGCTGCCCAAGGATGGTGTGTTTCAGTATATATAGTCTCCCCCAGGCTACCTGGTGCCAGCTCAGGCCCTAGTATAGAAGGAGCCATGGCTATAAATGTTGGCCAAACAAGGGGTCAACTGTAGTATAGACAGCTACAGCAGCACAGAGCATGGAAGGACAGTAGAAGCATCGGGTACACAGTGCAGCTGCGACATCTGGCTTGGATCCCTGGGCTCATGCCCTGGGTTGGATGTGTGATACTGGCACCTGCTCCCCTTCCCCACACTACTGTGGGTGAGGAGGGGACTGCACTATGGCTTTTTCAAAGTGGTGAGTCCAGTTGCATGGAGGTAAGAAGGTCTGGGTGGAGCCATGGGGAGGACAGAGAGCCCTGATCTACCATGGAGGACACCCCTAAGGCCACAGCTAGTCTGCTAAGTAGTGTTCCTTCCTCAGAGTTGGCCATTTATATTCTTTTTTTTTTTTTTTTTGAGACAGAGCCTCAAGCTATCCCCCTAGGTAGAGTGCTGTGACATCATAGCTCACAGCAACCTCCAACTCCTGGGCTCAAGCAAGTCTCCTGCCTCAGCCTCCCAAGTAGCTGGGACCACAGGCGCCCGCCACAATGCCCGACTATTTTTTGCTTGCAGCCATCATTGTTGTTTTTGGTGAGCCCGGGCTGGATTCAAACCTGCCACCTTAGGTGTATGTGGCTGGCGCCTTAGCCACTTGAGCCACAGGTGCTGAGCCCATTTATATTCTTAAAAGTCTAGCTCAGGGCGGTGCCTGTAGCTCAAAGGAGTAGGGCGCTGGCCGCATATGGTGGAGCTGGTGGGTTCAAACCCGGCCCCGGCCCAAAACTGCAAAAAAAAAGTCCAGCTCAGTGGCAGAAGCTAGAGAGTCAGGTCACTCTGGTCCAGCCCCCAGCTTCATTCTTCATACATGAGGAATAATAACAGCTTTCATGTCCTGAGTACTTACCATGCGTCGAACTCAGGGCCATATGCTATATGTGTAATTTCATTAAATTTCCACAATCATCCTGAGAAGTTGTTACAGATATCACCCCTCTTTTTATAGTTATGGATTCTGAGGCTCAAAGAGTTCAGGTTACTAACCCAGAGTGATTCAGGAAATTAATAGTAGAGGCAGGATTAAAATTTAGATCTGTTTTTCTCTAGAGCTCAGTTTTATCTTTAATTATATTTCTTAGTAGCTTAGTAGCTCTATAATGAAAATATAATGAAAGGTAAAATACCTTTCATAGAATACCTTCTGCTAAACTCACCCACAGCCAAAGAAATCCCTTGGTATCTGTTATAGTAGAAAGGAGTGATCCTGAATTAGATAGAGTTCTAGTCCCACCCCTGTTCCTGACCTTTTGTGTGACCTTGGGCAAGTATTTCACTTCCCTAATTCTCATGTGAAACTTAAATCTATGAAATGGGATCAATTATACATGCATTTCCTTCTAAGGTACACCAAGATGAAGACGGCTACCAACATCTACATCTTCAACTTGGCCTTGGCTGATGCACTGGCCACCAGCACACTGCCCTTCCAGAGTGCCAAGTACTTGATGCAGACATGGCCTTTTGGTGAACTGCTCTGCAAGGCTGTGCTCTCCATAGACTACTACAATATGTTCACCAGCATCTTCACACTCACCATGATGAGTGTCGACCGCTACATTGCTGTCTGCCACCCTGTCAAGGCCCTGGACTTCCGCACACCCGCCAAGGCCAAGCTGATCAACATCTGCATCTGGGTCCTGGCCTCAGGTGTTGGTGTACCCATCATGGTCATGGCTGTGACCCGTCCCCGAGGTGAGTGAGTTAGCTGTGGCACAGGCCACTGACCACAGGAGGCAGAACATGGGCCTCTGTGGGCTTGCCAAGTGCTTAGGAGGGAGTATAGGTGGCTCACAAGTGGAGGTGTAGATTGATGATCAATGAAAGTGTGACAGCTGACCAGTGGGAATGTGGAAGTTCAGCCAATAGGAATGTGAATGGTTAACTATGTGAGGATGAATGATTGGTCAATGTAATGTGGGTTTCTGGCCAAAGGGAATTTATGAGTTTATGAGTGGGATTATGGATGGCTGGTCCATGTGCATGCAGGTGGCAGGCCAGGAATGTGTGGATGACTGAGCTATAGGGAGATGGAGGGATGGCCAGTAGGGTGAGACTATCACTGATCAGGAAGCAATGGAGGCCATAAGATCTGAAGTCCCATCCTAGACTTCCTTTCACCCAAATTTGAAAATCATTGGCCCTGATGACCAAAGCAAGGCCTGGAAAATGGCCTGCAGACAATGATGACAGGTGTATTTCCTGAGAGTACAATGACAATTATAGTAACTGCCTGTATTAGCTTTTGTAATTCTGTCCAAAGCTCAGAGGCTTAACAGTAGAAGTTTATTCCTCACTCACATCACAATCCAATGTAAGAAGAGCACGGTCATTCAGGAACTCAGGCTCCTACTGATGGTTTCCGAATCTTCCATTGCTGGTATATGGCCAGCAAATGAATACAGAGGGAGCAGGGAGAAAGCACAACCACTTTAAATGCTATGACCCATCCCTTCCTAGTGACTGCTGGTCACATGGCCCTACCTTGATATAAGGAAGTGGAAAAGTAGTCTAGTAACTAATTACCTTTCTGAGCTACATATCATGGGGTCTTGAGAAGTTTAAAAGAGGTAATATGTATAAAATGCTTAGAACAAGGCCTGACTCATTGCCAAGGCCCAGTAAATAGCAGCTGGTAAGTAATTAAGCCTGTGAGATAGACAATACAGGGATTCCTACCTCTATTTGACTGTAGGAAAACTGAGAATCAGAGAGGTCAGGTGGTTTACGTAGGATCACACAATCAGGCATTTGGTGGGATTTGGCCTACAACCAAGGTTCCTGTCCCCTAATCTGTTGCTCCTTTTGGCCCCTTGAGTAGAGGTTTGCAGAGGGTCAGTGCTATGGGTAGGAGAAGGAAATAGGCTTGATGGGAGGCTTCTTGATCACCCTTGACCCTCACAAGGGCAGAGGCCCCAGTGCCCTTAGCCTCTGAGCAGTTGGTCTTGACGTAGCAGTAGGGCCCCTTCTTCACTGTCAGCCTGCAGTTTACAGACCATTAACTGCAGCCCTGCTGGGGGCTGGACCAGATGGGCCGCCCCACTCCACACACTCTCACATGCAGACTCCTCTATCAGCACTTTCTGCTTTTGCATGCCACCTGCTGTGTGTCCTTAAATGAGCGCTGTTCCTCTCTGGGCCTGGTTCTGCCATCTGTATAGTGCAAGCTTTGGACTCAGTCTTTCCTAGGGATCCTGCCAGCCTAACGTCCTGAGGTCCCACTGGCTGTCTGGCTCCTTAAATCCTAGCATAGCAAGAGACCTTGGGAGTCCCCTGGGTAAGTTCCAGGCCTTATTAGAGTCCCACAGTGTCCCCCTAAGGTTCTCATCCAGCTCAAGGCCACACTTCAGGAATAGAGAGCTCATTCCATCCTGGGTGCCCTTCCTGTCTCCTGGCATACCTGGCTGTCAGGAAGTTCTTTTTGAAGTTAAGCTCAGATCTGTGGCCTTAGCAAAAAGCTTGGCAGGTAGCGCCTGTAGTTCAGTGGGTAGAGCACTGGCCTCATACACCGAGGCTGGTGGGTTTGAGCCCAGCCTGGGCCTGCTGAACAATAATGACAACTGCCACAGCACTCTACTGAGGGCAACATATTGACACTGTCTCAAAAAAAAAAAGAGGTCATTGGCAGCCTGGCCTCTGGCCTCATACATGTATGTGTCCCTTTTCCCTGTAAGTGCACCAAAAGCTAGGACCCCACAGTGCTCTCCATGCCTTAGCCTATTCAGTCCTCACATTGAGATATGTAGGCATTGTTAGTCCCACTCTACTGAAGTAATCTGCCTCCACAGCAGGGCTGGCGTCCTGCTCCTAACTCACTCTAGTGACTTAGTGGTACTGGTCCTACTGCTGTGGTTCTCAACCTTCCTAATGGGTGCGACCCTTTAATACAGTTCTTGTGGGTCCTGACCCACTGGTTGAGAACCGCTGCACTAGAGCTAGTTTGGAAATGGGTCGGCATGTTTTCTGTTATCATAATGACTACCATTTAGTAGGATGGGCTAAATTAGTTCATGTTCATGCCACCTATGGACATAGAAGCCCAGAAATGGGCTGGGAGAGAGCGTAAAAGACCTCCAAGACGAGGGCCAATCCTGCTGGGGTCTTTAAGGATGAGTAGGAATTGTCAAAGTATAGAAGCGAAGGAGAGCTGGGCACAGGGGTTCACACCTGTAATCCTAGCACTCTGGAGGATGAGGCAGGTGGATTGCCTGAGCTCACAGGTTCCAGACCAGCCTGAGCTACAGGGAGACCCGTCTCTAAAGATAGCTGGTGTTGTGACAGGTGTCTGTAGTCCCAGCTACTCTGGAGGCTGAGGCAAGAGAATTGCTTGAGCCTGAGAATTTGAGGTTGCTATAAGCTATGACAGCACTCTACCGAGTGGGACAAAGTAAGACTCTGTCTCCAAAAATAAAAAAAAAGGTGAAGGAGAAAATCATAGGCAAAAGAATCACTTTGAGCAAAGGGCAGGAGGAGGTGGTGGAACCTGACCAAGTCTTAAAAGGGTGGGCAAACAAGCAGGGCCCTGTAGGCGCACAGGCCCTCACCCAGTGTCTTGTCTTTTCTTATTTCCCTGACCCAGACGGGGCAGTGGTGTGCATGCTCCAGTTCCCCAACCCCAGCTGGTACTGGGACACGGTCACCAAGATCTGCGTGTTCCTCTTCGCTTTTGTGGTGCCCATCCTGGTCATCACCGTGTGCTATGGCCTCATGCTGCTGCGCCTGCGCAGTGTGCGCCTGCTGTCGGGCTCCAAGGAAAAGGACCGCAGCCTGCGGCGCATCACGCGCATGGTGCTGGTGGTGGTGGGCGCCTTCGTGGTGTGCTGGGCGCCCATCCACATCTTCGTCATCGTCTGGACGCTGGTGGACATCGACCGGCACGACCCGTTCGTGGTGGCCGCGCTGCACCTGTGCATTGCGCTGGGCTACGCCAACAGCAGCCTCAACCCCGTGCTCTATGCCTTCCTCGATGAGAACTTCAAGCGCTGCTTCCGCCAGCTCTGCCGCAAGCCCTGTGGTCGCCCGGAACCCAACAGCTTCAGCCGCACCCGCGAAGCCACCGCCCGTGAGCGAGTCACTGCCTGCACCCCGTCCGATGGGCCTGGCGGTGGCGCTGCTGCCTGACCAGGCCAGGCCACTACTGTCCCCCGCCTGCCCCTCCGATGTGACCTCGCGGCCACACCGAGTCCTAACGGGAGGCACAGGCCACAACCTAGAATGAGGTAGTATTGGGACCTGTAGCCAGGCCTCTATTGGAGAAAGGGGCCAGGCGGTGGAGAGGCAGATGTTAGGATGGTTGGGGTGATAACCTCTGGGCCAGGTGTACCCATCATTGAGGGCTCTAGTTTGGGAGGAGGGGGGACTAGGGACTCCAGGGGAGTGGAACCACACCTGTGACTCTGGAACTGGGCCCCCAAATAGGGACTCCCCAGTGGCCAGGCCTCAACCATAGGACAGCCTCCTGTTCTAACCAAAAAAGGGGCTTTCGGAAATTAGGATCTGTCCTGAGAACTGAGGTTCCCGGGTCCGGTATCAGGAGGGGCAGTGGTGGGGACAGTTGCTTGAGAACTGAGCTGGAAGTTTGGACCTCTGTGCAGTGGAGAGGGGCCTCTTCTGGAGTGAGACAGAACAGGACAGTCATGGCTACAGCTCAGCATTTGGTGGCAAGATAAGGGGCCCCCATGCAAGGGTTAGGGCCTTGACTATGGGTAGAGTTCTAGCAAGGGGCAGGACTTGCTGAGGTCTAGGTCTGATGTGACATCTCTATAAATAAGATGAACATAAAAGAAACAGAAAGAAGAAGCGAGAGAAACAATATACTGTTTCTCTCTAACATTTATTTGCTTGGAATGTGCAGGGATCCTTCAGCACTGAAGTAGTGGCCACAGTACTATGTTCCAGTGGGGCTTGGGACAGGACAGTAAGGTGGAACCAGCAGCTCTAGAATAGAGTAATGATACATGGCCTTGGTTGGAGTAGGGTTCCTAGCGGCTTCGGAAGGAGCCAGAAGTTCCCCTGGTTCCAAAACCTAACCTTGGAGTGTGCCTCTGTGACAAGTGGTGGTGGTGGGTGGTCTGTGAGAGAGAGGCGGCTCCTGCTTGGAGGTTAGGCTCTCAAGCTGGAGAGTGGATGGTCTTCACTGGTCCCCAGGGCCCTGGCTTCTCTGGTCCAGGTACTGGAGGACAGAGGACCATCTGCTTTGAGCCCGGTGGATGGTAAGTGGCATCTGGAACTGGGTGGCGGGTATCAGAAGCATGATTGCAGACTTGGTGCTGGGTCTTGGGCCCTGATAAGAACCTGGAAGAAACCCTCTTCCCTCCTCCTAACGTGTGTCTGGTGTCAATGACTCCAATGAAGTGGAACTGCCCACGTGGGGACCTGACTTGGAAGAAACTGGGGGAAGAAGGTTTTCATAACTGTGATGCTGGCATCAGCGTGTGCTCCCCTGGTGCCTTTCCCCCCGGTCTCCCACCTGCTCCAGCCCAGTTGCCCTCTGCAGCCTGTGAGGGCAGTGACCACCGGGAGCTGGGCACAGAAGCTTTTCTCTTCATTTGTTTTGCCTTTTATTCAAGCCCTCTCAGATCTCTGCTCCCCCAGTGCCTACCCCATGTGTCTTCCCCCACCCCTCCTTTTTTTTTTACAGACACTGCCTCAGAAATGCACCCCTGACACCCTCCTGAAGCAGTGTGCTGACATCCTTGTAAAAACAAATTTAATTTTCTTTCCTTTTTGGGACAGATGGAAAGAAATTGACGTCTTTGTCTCAAACAAAAGGAAAAAGATAAAGAAACAATATACCTCTTTTCCTTTGACAGCTATTTCTTTGGAACAAAAGCTGGGAGGCTGTCACTCCAGCAGGGACTGAAAATTATTCAGGGGGTTGAGGGCTTAGGCACCAAAGATGGGCTTTGGGCACATATGGGGAAGGGGTGTCCTTAGTGGGCAAAGCATAGCCCCATTTGCAGTGTGAGGTCCCCAGAAGCCCCAGACCTGGGGGTGTTCTCCCTTCAGGAAATGGCTGCCCTAGGGCCTGGAAAGTTATGGGGCAGTACCCAGCACTCCGATCTAGCCTACTAAGCCACTGGGACCTGAGGTCCTAACCTTCCTAGATCACCTTCACCACCCATATAGACTACAGAGATCTCTGTGCCTGAGTGGTGGGAGATCAGCAAGCCAGGGACACTCCTGGACATCATCTGGGACTCCTCTTGCTAATGCTGTGGGGATATGGCAGGGAAAGGGGACAAATTTAGCAACCAGAAAAGAATCCTGAATGAGATGATGTTAGAGCCAGGCTATTTATTCTCTTTGCAAAGACTGTGTCCCCTTCAACCCCTACTAGGACAGGCCTGTTTCAAGGCTGCTTGAAGTCTGCTCACTGCCATCTCCTGTGGCTATTACAGATCTGGCTGCTTTTTACTCCTTCTGATAGATAAATTTATCCTGGGTACAGCAGGGGTTGAGGTCCAGACCTTGTGCGTTTAAAGTAAGGTAAACTTGTATTGAAATTTATTTTATGCAAGACATGTACTCTGGGCATTGGGACTCGGAAATGAGTCAGACATGGCCCTGCCCTCAGAAGGCCTGAGCCAGTGCTGGGAGACAAAGCACAAACATGATTCTGTCTCAGTGTGATGAGTAGTGACAGAGCCCCAGGGAGGGTATCACAGGGAACTTGCCTTTTCTAGCTTTTTAATAGAACATGTTTGTAGCAATTCTCTAAAAGGTGAGAAAGGATCAGGGGTCTTTAAGGGATGCATAGGAGTGGGTCACCAAGAAGAGGGTACGAGTGTGTGGAAAAGCATGGGATGGCCAAGTGCTTGGCCATCCAAGAAGTTGGACGCTCCTGGAGCATGGGGCCTAACCCAGCTCTTCTGTGTGCCAGGCTCTGTGCCCAGTACTTCATGCACTTCACCCCCTCTGGTCCTCATGACAGCCCAGTGGGGGGAGTACTATTATCCCCATTTTAGACAAGAGAGCTGAGGCTCAGAGGGGTGAAGCCACTTGCCTGTGAGTCACACAGCCTGTTGGTAGTGGCAGAACTCAGGGCAGTGTAATTCCAGGATCTAAGTTTCCAGTTAATTCCAGGCATCTCTGAATGTGGAAAGGGCTTAATAGCTGGAAACCTACGATGAGGTTTTTGAAGACTTAAAACCAGATGGAAAAATCTGAAGGAAAAGGGCAATTTTCTATGAACTTTTGTTCCTCCTGAAGCTCTCTAAATCTTCAATTTCAAAATGTACTATGCATGATGCATTTTAAAGCTTGAAATTGACAGTGTAATTCTAGATCATCACAGGGTTCTTAAAACTGCAAAGTAGGTATGTTTCCTCCAAAATTTCCATTCTTTTTTCTCTAGGCAGGAGGGAAGGTTTTGCTCTTGGTTTTAAAAATGTCCTGAAATTTCATAACTTCTTGATGTAATAGACGTTGTGGTTAAGGCTGGAATCAAATCTTGGCTTTCCCCCTCTGAACCTGTTTCCTTCGAAGAGTGGATTTCCTTCATGGTGATTGTGAGGATTTAATATATGCGTAAGTGTAGGGCCCAGCCCCTAAATTGGCTCTAAGCACCTTGCATTGTTACTGTTGTAAAGTGGAGTTGGACCTGACGTGGTGCCTCATAATCCCAGCACTTTGGAAAGCCAGGGCAGGAAGATCACTTGAGGAGTTTGAGGTCACCTTGAGCAATATAGTAGGACCCCCATCTGTACAAAATTAGGGAAATCAGCCAGGTGTTGTGGTGGGCACTTGTAGTCCCAGCTACTTAGGGAAGCTGAGGCAGGAGGATTGCTTGAGCTGAGGAGTTTGAGGTTGTGGTGAGCTATGATGACACCACCGCACTCTAGCCTGGGCAACAGAATGAGATCCTATCTCAAAAAAATTTAAAAAGGCTTAGTGCCTGTAGCTCAGCGGCTGGGGCACCAGCCGCATACACTGCAGCTGGCAGGTTCGAATCCAGCCTGGGCCTACCAAACAACAATGACAACTACAACCAAAAAATAGCCGGGTGTTGTAGTGGGCACCTGTAGTCCCAGCTACTTGGGAGGCTGAGGCAAGAGAATTGCTTAACCCCAAGAGTTTGAGGTTGCTGTGAACTGTGACACCATGCATTCTACCAAGGGTGACATAGTGAGACTGTCTCAATGGAGCTTCAACGCAGGGTCAGAGCTAGAGGCCTAAAGGGAAAAGTAGATGAATTTTCATGGACAGTGATGATGAGAGCGAAAAAGCTTGGGGACCCCATGCTTTCTAGGCCCAGGAGCCACTGTGGAGAGGGAGAAGCTGCTGGAGAAGCAGGAGGAGGATGGGGAGAACATGCTGCCATGGAAACTGGAGGAGGAGGGCGTTCCCAGGGGGAGGGAGTGATGGATAATGTCAAGTGTCATAAGAGGATGGGGTTAGGGAGGGCACAAGGGTGATGGGAGGAAGCTAGAGCCCCCAAGTTCAGTCTCCTATATGGCTGGGACAGTCCCCGAACCTGAATTCAAATTTCAGCTCTGAACCTACCTGGCTGTGTGACCTGTGACCTGTGTCCTAGGTGAGGGATTTCCCCTCTCTGAGCTTCTGTTTCCTCCTAACTCTAAGATGAGGGAATGGGTCAGTCTCAAGAGTCCTGGTTTGGCTGGATTTTTTTGCCATTTGCTAGCAGCGTGGTGTTAAGGAAGCTGCTTCATTTCCAAGAGCTCCCTCTGAAAGCTGTGAGCAGAGTGCCTACTAAAGTGCCTGGCACATAGGAGGCCCTCAGTACAGGGCTATTCACTAATAACTATGTGGTGCCGGAGGCAGCAGGTTCGCTTAGCTTGGAATTTGAAATGCTCCTCAAGGTAGAGAGGGGCCACCAGTGTCCTCAGAGGACTTGGAAGAATGATCCGGGTTGGATAGTCCAAAGACCAGCCCCTCTCTTTCTCAGTGACAGATCGCTAGCCGGTGGCCTAGCTCCTGGCTGGCTGCCTGCCCCGCCTGGGATTGAATTGCTGTCATCCAGACTGGGAACTGCCCCAGGGGCTCCAGAGCCTGGAAGTGATGCCCAAGGTTCTGGTCTCAGCACTCTCGTGCAGAGCACATATACACACTTCTCCTTTGTTATTTATTCCTTCACTTCACTCTGGGCACATGCTGGGCAGAGTGATAGGAGC